TCATTACTGGTGACAAGACATAGTGCTATTCTTATGACCCTGAAAGCAAACATCAACCAAGCCAGTGGAAGATGCCATCATCACCTTGCTCAAAAAAACAAACAAACAAAAAAAGCTCGTCAAGTGAAATTAAAGATCAAGATGATGCTCATTTGATTTTTTTATGTGAGGGGGACAGTGCATTTGGAGTTTGTTCCATCAGGTCAGACTGTTAATCAAGCTATTTGGAGGTTCTGAACAGAGTGCCTAACAGTGTGTGACAAAAAAGGCCTGATTGGTGGCAGACGGGGGACTGAGTTTGCCATCACGACAATGCACCTGCACTCAGCCATTTCAGTGTGCCAGTTTTTGGCAAAAACCCCACCAAAAACCAGCATGCCTTTCTCGCCCCATGTACTTTACTCACCTGACCTCACATGGTGTGACTTCTTTTTGTTTCCACGAATGAAGAAGAGGGACATGAAAGGACAGCAGTTTGACGAAGTAGAAAAGGTGAAGGAAATAAACGAGGGAGGTGCCATCAGCCGTCCAGACAGATGAGTTTGAAAAATGTTTCCAAGAATGGAATCACAGATTTGACAAATGTTATTAAGTGTGATGGAGAATAATCTTAAAGCGATAAGGTTGTTTTGTAAAAAAAATTTAAATACATAGCTTTGAAAAGAGAAATTCAGATTTTTGGAGGGGTATACCCTCATATATATTATATATATATATAATTTTTTTTTTTTTGCTGAATTGCTGCTTTTAAACCGGTCCTCCTTTGGTCACTGTTCTTTCAATATATTTTTTCATTAACCTATTGTTGCATCTTACTTTTGAGATTTTACATTTATGGTTTACTTGCTAAATTTTTGCTTTTGAAAAAAATTGAAACCCAAACCAAATGTGACTAGGAATAAGAATATAGTAGAGGCTTAATAATATTAAGAACACTCCTGGTGGTGCAATGTTTAAAGCCCTTCCCGCTTCCCAAAGGGCTTGTGGTTTGAACCTACCAACCCCTCTTCAGGAGAAAGATGAGGCTTCGTGTTTTCAGCCTTGGAAACCCACAGAGCAGGGTCTCTATGAGTCCAAACTGGCTTCATGGTAGGGGGTTGGCTGTTTGCGGTCACTAACGTTGGTCCCACTGAAAGAATGACTATCATTTGCTCCTTCACCATCTGGGAAGCACATGGACACACTTCCTCAAGCTTCTTCTAGAACAAACTGATGAATGGCATTCACAGGTGTAACAATTTTGAGAATTCACCCAGAATTTTTCAAAAGTAAAATTAGTTTTTAATTACAAAACGCATATCCTGCTATAAAAAAAACCCAGAATTCAGCAAATGAAGGATTATACTGATAATGAGAGCTAGGGCTATCACTGCCGAAGAAGCTACAGAGGTGGAGTTGGGGAAGTCAAGGAAGGACTCTTGGGGGCTGAAGGGAAATTGGACCGAGCTGTCAACTTTATGATTTCTAAGACACATGTCTCTATATTTCCTGGCCCCATGTGTTGAAGGGGCCCAGCAGCAATGACACACCAAGAGGCTCTGACTCTTAGTGTGTAAAGACTGTCTCCCGGAAGAGACACTACGGCTAGGTAGAGAGGTGGCTGATTCCAGAGTTAAGATGGAGATGAAACAAACAAAAAAACAAACAAACCAAAAACTAAAATAAATGCTAAAAAGGAAGAAAGCAACTGCCAAAAGAATGCCAAGAACATATTTTAAAAAATCCAAGGTAAACATTTAACCAAAAAAAACAAAAACAAACTCACTGTCATCGAGTTGACACTGACTCATAGTGACTCGATAGGACAGGGTAGAACTGCCGCTGTGGGCTTCCGAGATGGGAACTGTTTGCAGGAATAGAAAGCCTCCTCTTTCTCCATAAATGTGCAACTTGTGCTGAAAGGGAAGAGATCGGCTGCCCAAGAATACTAAGAACACATTTTAAATGCCCCCAGGAGCCACTTGAAAAGTCTCCCACTGGTCAAATTGGAGCAATCTGGCATCAAAAGACCTAACGGACTGAATAATACAGGCACCTGTACGTCTATGTGAATAGACGTCAGCAAAAGAGTAAGTAAGGGGGAAAAGAGAAAACTTCCCTTACAGTTGAGTGCCAACCAATAAGTAGAGACATGATAGAACTGGAAAATCACCATTTGGCAAGTGTCAGAGTAGCAACTAATTCAGCCAAGAAACATCTGTGGATGCTAAAATTAGGGTGTGAACGGTTATTGAGAAGCAGAGCACTTACAGCCTCAGCGTATCTCCCCACAAAACTTCTTCAAAAGGAAGAAAAAGAAAAGAAACTCTACAGTGTAGCAGTCCAAAAGATATTCCTTAAAACAAGTAATCAAAATTGACAGCCTGGTAATAGCACCAGCAACACAATGTCTCCAAAGGGCAAAATGCCACTTCTGTGGAATTCTTGCCAAAGTAGAGAAATTCAGTGTAATCATATTAGAAGAAGCTAAATTAAGAGATAATTCTATAAAATAACTGGCCTGTGCCTTTCATGACCATGATATTTTTGGAGATTAAAGACAGATTGAAGAATTATTCCAGATTTAACCAAGCAGCAAACCCAAGGCAACCAGATTGATTCCGGCTCAGTGGTTCTGACTCACAGCTCAAAGTAAAACAGCCCCATAGGTTTGGTTTGCTGAGGCTACAAATCCTGACAGAGCAGAATGCCTCATTCTTCTCCCTTGAAGGGGGCTGGCGGGTTCAAACTGTCAATTTTGCAGTTAATCAAACACATAAGCACTGCGCCCTCAGGGCTCCTTGTTCCATATTAAAGGAAATTATAAAGAAACATGATCAAATGTAATATATGGTCCTGAGTTGGATTTGACACCAATGTTTCCCCCTTCCATCAAACTTAAGTATTTAGGGTAAAGAAGAATCATTTCTGTGAGGAACTCTCAAATGGCTCAGAAACAAAAGAGCCCTTCTTCTCTACTGACAGTAAGTAGGCAGGGAGATAAAGAAAAGGAATAATGGAATCAGAAATCACAATTTTATAACTGTCGTAGTGAAAATGTAATCAAAGGACGCTCAACTAACAGGAGGGGAAGGCTGGAGGAGGGTTAGAGTACCTACATGTTCTCCAACTTTCTCCTGACAAATTAGGCCAAATTATAGAATGGACAGATGCCTTGCTCAAGTGACCAGAACTGACAGACCTAACAAGGGACCAAGGGACCTCTGTGCCTCTGCTGTGTCACCTGGAGAAGCAGAGCACCCACAGGATCCCCCTCCCACCCGAGTTCACAACCGGACTCTGCCCCAGAGAAAACTCTGCAAAGCCTAGAGACTGATTCTATACATTAGCTGGCCTGTGTTCTTCAAATAGTGAAATATTTCATCAAAGGGATGAAAGGCAAGGAAAGGCAGAGGAGCTGTTCCAGATCAGACCTATGGCCGCACACGTGATCGCAGAAAAGCTTCCCAGTGGAGTCACATGGCCCATGGGCTGGCCTGTGTGCCAGTGGGGAATGCCTGAACTCAAGAACGCTCCTGCCGGTGAGCTTCTCTTCCTGTTCTCGAGGCACCAGAACGAAAGTCAAGGGCATGGCGCCTGTAACGTTCTCTCCAACGGTTCCAGGGGGAAATCTTTATCAAGAGAACATGGGAATGTCTTTTAAAAGTCAGGGACAGAACAATGTGTGTACTTTTGTTCCAATTAAAAATACCCAAATACACAGACTTTGAAATTAGTAGTACTCCTTCCTTCCCATTGCACCCCTCACCTCAAGAAACTCAGAGCCCAAAGGTTTCATTAGGTGGTTGACATAAGACTGTAAAGGCCTTCTCCTTAATCCTCAACCCCACTCTAGAGCTAACACTGGCATCTGTAGGTATACACTTTTGTACATGTATGTGACTTCCTTATTATTTGGATGGCTGCACGTCAACAAATGAGTATGTATAATTTACTTATTAAGTGTCCTATTGGTACTTGTTTTATTTTTAAATGCCTTTCTTTTAAAAGGTGATGTAAACACTTTTCTATTGATTATATTGATTTTACCTTGATAAGTTGCTTGGTCTTAATCCTATCGTATTTTGGTACATTTTCTATTTTTGTACTTTCCTTAAAGGAAAAAGTGTGCTTTTAGTTCCCATTGTGCTTTAGGATTTCCCTTCACATCTATCGACTTCACCTACTCAGTCTTAGTGTTTTCCAAGCATGCAGATTCATATTAGTATTACGTTCTCAGCTAGTAGATTAGCAAAAGTCTTTGTAGGAAACCTGAGCCTGGCTAATGGATCCATTTGTGGAAGCAGGCAACTCCAGGCAGGAACCTGACAGGGCAATTGTGGGAGTCCAGATCCTCCCCGAGGCCTAAAATCCTACTTCTCCCCAAATCCACTAGCCCACTTGTTTATCATCTGGGACACGTTCTTACTGGGTCTGTGTCAGGCCTTGCGCTATGCTTTTAATTAAAAACCTCAATGGATTCAAGTATGAGAGGAGGGACACTTCCACTCTCGGCACCAGTGTTATCTGTTAGTTTTACACTGTCCTTATGGTTTTGTGGATATGACTGAATTACAATGTATCTTGGGACGGGAATAGGGACGACAATGAGAACAATATAAACAGGTAAAACCTTTTTTACTTTATTTTTCAACAAATAAAAATGCAACATATACCTCATATATTACATGCCAGTGATCACCACTCACACTTGGGGGCCAGAGTGAACCCTTCCTTGCCCTCCCCGTATCTTTTGATGTTGCTGGTAGCAGAAGCAGTAGTCCCCAATCTCTGAAGGCAGTC